AGCGGCTCTCTCCAGCCCCATCTCAGACCCAGTTGGGTCCGCAGAGGGGAGCCCCATCCTGGGCACCCCCGCACCTACAGGTGGCACGGAGCTCACGCTGGGCTCCTGGGTAATACCCTCTGCCGCTTGCCAGCCTCTTGCCTTCACCTCTGCAGAGAGCTTATCAGGTCCTCCACAATTGCTCGATCCAGTTGTCTCCCGTTTCCCACCACAGCCAGACTTACACAGTGGGTGTGTCCATAGGACAGTGGCGTCATTGTGACACAGGCTCGCCTTCTACTCTCTCCCTGCCTGCCTCATGCTGCCCAGCAACCCCCCACTACAGCTTTACAAGCAGCTTCATGGGCAGCAGGGACGCTCCTGGGAGTGCCCCTTAGGGTTTCTTCTTTCTTTATATGTGCTTTCATTTCCCCCCACTTTTTGATAGGGTGTATTGGTTACAGAGACTGATGGGTTTCATTTCGGCAAATTTGTCCATTTACATAATGTCTTAATTACTTTTCTCACTGGGTATCACAAAATACCCAACACTCAAAGTTAAAGGAGGAAAGGTTTATTTGGCTCACAGATCTTATTTGTATTTTGAGACAGGATCTCACTGCGTAGCCAAGGCTGGCCTCAAACTCCCAGCAATCCTTCTACCTCAGCCTCCTAAATGCTGGGATTATAGGCATGCACTACTATACCAACTTGGCTCAAAGTTTGTAGAAACTTCAATCCATACTTAGCTGGCTCCAACGCAGTGACACATGCCAGAGGACACCAGTTTACAGCAGCAGAAAACAGCAAAAGCAATAAGGGACCTTGACGGTGTCTTTTTGCCCCTTTTATCCAGACTTCTGGGATTAGGTGGCGCCAAACCAATCAGTGGGCTGATTTAGTAATCCTGCATCCTGAATCTTAATCTAAAACTCCAGGACTGCATGAGGTTTTCGGGAGACATCACAGCGCAAATCATAACGCATAATCACCCCCTCTTCACCCATTGCCGCCCCTCCCCAGCAGCATATGCTCTGAGGGAGTCTCATAGCGTATGAGATAGTTCTATGGCATCCATGGCCCCACCACCCCCACTCCACACCCTGACTTTCCCCTTCTCCCCTCCCTTTGCCTAACATCCTCCGTTCTCATTTTCTGCCATGTTCTTTGATTCCACACATTATGGAGAACAAGTAGCGTTAGACTTTCTGAGTCTGGCTTCTTTCACTCGGCTTGACGACCTGCAGATCCATCTTGTCCTTTTTTCTGGAAAGGACAAGATCCAGGTGTATTGTATGGCCCAACAATACTCCGTTGTGTGTGTAAATGCTACGATTTATTCATCCATTCCTCAGTGGATGGGCACGTTGGCTGCTTCCCCATCCTGGCCATCGTATATGGCATTACAGTAACTATGGCGTGCAGGCAGCTCTATGGGCGCTGACCTTAAACCTTTCTGGCATATAACAAGAAGAGCTATAGCTGGTTCATCTACAACAGCTCAATTCTTAGTGAATAATCTCCACACCAGTTTCCACAGAGACCGTACTGATTCCCATTCCTACCAGCAGTGTTGGAAGTATTCCCTCCGCCCTGCGTGGTTTTCCTTCATGATGTGGGTCGCATCCACTGCATGGTGTCAGGCCCAGCCACAGCAGTTGTGGTCCTAGACCAAGTGGCAGCCCATGCCGAATGGGTGGGAGGGAGCCAAGCCCCACAGGCTTCACATCCTGAGCGCTTCCTTCCTAGGTGGCTGAAGTTCTCAGGGGCACACATGGCAGATTTTAAGAGGTAGCAAACAGAGCCCAAACCAGGTGCAGGGGTGGGGGCATGGGGTAGAAGACCGCAGCCTTGGGCTGGGGCCCACATTTCCCTGCACACTCTGAGTCTATCCCTCACCCCACAGGTGAGAGAGGCACCGAACTGGTCACCCTGCCAGTGTCTCGAGGGCACAGGGTCCAACTGCCGCCTATTTTTGTTGCTCTCATTTCTGCCCAGACTTGATCTCTTCTGAGCGCCATTTCCTGAGATCGCTGTCCTTTACCATAGCATTTCCATTTTCTTCTATTATTCCAGTTTGGGGGTACAAAGTGATTGCAACACAGGACAGTAACAACTTAAAGTTCAATATCCGCCACCACAGTCCTGGATTCCCTGCTGTTCTTTGCCCCTGTGTCTGGGCCAGGGCTGCACCTTAGGCACCAAAAATGCCCTCACCCCTCCCGAGCCCTCTTTCCCTGTGTTCTGGCCCCAGAAACATGCCCCACCTCCCAGCCTCCAATTTCCAAATTCCTCTCACTGTTTTTCAAACAATCCTTGGTCTGTCTTCTGTTGCTGTATTGTAGCAAAATACCCAGAACTGGGTAATAAGGAATTGAAGACGGTCATGTGGCTGCCCATTCTACCACCTGTGATGTGTGTTCAGGAGTGTGGCCTCAGCCCTTGCTTGGTGTCTGGTGGGGGCTCCACTGCTGCATCATGACATGGGGGAGGACATCATGTGATCATGGTGAGGAAACACCTGCTGTCCTTAAGAAGCCACCGATGCCACCAGGGGCCCCACCCTCAGGATCTCACTTAATCTTAATGATCTCCCGAGGCTCCACCTGCACACACAATTAGCATGTAAATCTTGGTATTAACCTTCCAGTGCAATCAGAGCACAGCCTGATCCTCTGGCACCCCAACTCTGTTCTAACCTGAGATTGTATCCAAACCCTCACTGAGATTTTTGATTCAGAAAAAGAGCTGCACACTTAGGTCTCCAACTCTCAGTCGAAAAGCTTTGAGATTCATTTTTTTCCTTTAAGCGATCAAATTGCTGGGTAGGATTTCTTCCACTGACTGAAACGTTTTTATTGTTTTTACTGTATGCTCAAACTTTAAAGTCCTGCTCTTCAAATTTACATCAGATGATCTTAGTCTCATGTTTCCATCAGCGTTTATCCCTGTTGGTGAAATTGTACTTCTTTTTCATCCAAATTATCTCTACTTATGGTTTATCATCCCTTTCCAGTTGAGCTTCCCAGGTAACTCAGCTTTCCTTCACTATGACAAATACCAGAGATAACCAGCTTATACAGAAAAAGGGTTTCCTTTGGCTCATATTTTTGTAAATATCAGTCTGTGGTTTGCTTTTGGTGGGAGCATAGGGGGTGGGGGTCGCTCACTTTACGGCCAGAAAACAAACGAATGAGGAAGGGACTGGGCTCCCAGCACCCCTCCCACTTCTCAGCTGCTGAGTTTCCTCTGCCCCCCACAGCACCAAGCTGGGGACAAGCTTTTAGCACATGGGCCTGTGGGAGACATGTAAGATGCAAACCCTATCATGTTGGCAATTTCTTGAGGAATTTGTGTAGGTTTTTAATTTGCATCCTATCCAGAGCACCCCCTTAATATAATCATTTCCAGGCGGAGATGTCGGTGATTATGCAGCAATAATCAGGGACAGCTATTGTCATTCTGAAATGCATAATAATTTTATCTAGAACTTGTGTTTTATAAGGGAGGTCCCTCAGGCGGGGGTGGGGGGTGTATGGGCCACACACAGGCACTCTGCCTTCCTCCACGGCTCAACGTGCAGGGCGCGCAGAGCTCCCCGTGGACCCAAGGGTGGGCAACCAGCAAGACCAAGAGTGAGCAGGCCAGCTTCTCCTGTCCCCAGCTGAGCGAGCCTGGCGCTGGCAGCCCGCAGGGCCACGCTTGCCCTCGAGCCCAAGCTTGCTTTAAGTGCAGGGTTAACGCAGCGAGTTTCCGGAACCCTGCCTCAGCATATCCTTTCTTAGCACACCGCAGCTTCTTCCGTTCCATCGTCTCAATCAATCAAGTCTAAGGCGCAGAGCACTGGCAATATGTGTGCACACAAAGAAACGCAATACAAACAGCTGAGCTCATTTGGTGTAGCACTTCCATAGTTCTGATAAAAAGCACATTCCCGTGCAAGGCTTAAATACAAATTACGGGCTTTCTGTGCCCCCGCATGAGTTAAGTGCTTACAGACTGACTTAAAAGTGGCCTTGCACAGTATAAAGATGAGTGGTAGAATTCATCCATAATAATTTAAACTTTTTTCTTTACTTAAGAGACTATTAAGTAACTTTCATGCACTGTAGAAGGATTGGGGAAAAACAAAAGCCCGCTCTTTCCGTTCATGGGGAGTGAACTCTGGGCCTTCCCACTAAACTGCATCCCAGTCCGCCTTTTACGCTTAATTCGAGACTGGGCGTCCTTCCGTCGCTAAGCAGGTCCCACCCCCGCCGCCTCCGCCTCCCGGTGTCGCTGCGATCACTGGCTACTCATCCCCTTCGGGGGCACTTTCCAGTTTTCTCCAAGGGGTCCTGCATTTTACAAGTGCTGCGGTCTCCCAGACGACGCAGAGCTACGCAGCTAGAGAGGAGTCAAAGTCTCCTTACGGGTGCGGGCGGGAGAGCACGAATACTTCAGTAAATTATGCACACTACAGTGTTGGCGCTGGAGCAGTCGGAGCGCTTAGGGGACTCGACCCTGCAAGCGCCGACACCTCGGATCTCAGGGGTTGAGCAGTGACGAAGATCCGATCTGCAGTTCAGAAAAAGGTCGCCGCGGCTGCCGCGAATTCCCCTCCGGGCGGCGGGGGGTAACAAGGCCCAGAGCCGTGGAGGCGCCGGAGACGCGGGCACCGGGGAGCGGGCGCCCCAGGACGCCGCTCGTCCCCACAGCGCACGCGCGTCGGGACGCGGCCGGAGCCGCAGAGTACGCAGGTGGGGAAGGCTGGCCCGCGGAGCGGGACTCGGCCCGGCGCCCGCTGTAATGAACAAGAAAATTTAAAGAACTTCCTGCCTCCACAGCAAGTTTTATTACTGAAAACGTATTATTCTCATACTATCCGGCGTTACGAGCACCCTCGTACCAGCTACCACATTGAGCCAACCAGCGTCCTCCTCCGTGGCTCTCACGCCGGAAGCCTGCTAGTCCTCCAGGGCAGCGAGAGCGCGGGCCAGAGCGCCAACGCCCCCATCCGGGGCCCAGTGACGTCTGAGGACGCGCCAGAACGGATGATGCGCCTGCGCGGCGGCGCTCACTGGCGAGCTGGTTTCCTACGTCATCGCGGGCGCGACGCCCCGAGGGACAGTCTGGAGTCTGGCAGTCTGGAAGGCGCGGTGGTGAGACTGGCCGGGAAGATGCCAGTGGCGGTGATGGCGGAAAGTGCCTTCAGTTTTAGAAAGTTGCTGGATCAATGCGAGAACCAGGAGCTCGAGGTAACCATTTGTGCCGCGCTGGGAGAAACTTCGGGGCACCCCCAGCCGCTCGGCAGCACCGGTTTCTAGGGTAACGGCCCGAGGGCTTGAAGCACGCGGGAGCTGGCGGTGGGGAGCCCGGGCCGGTCTTGCCGAGCTCACCTGGAGGTTTTGGTTGGTTTTCTGTGGGCCCGAGGTCCCTATGTGTCTTCGCTCTTAGCACCTACCAGTGTGCTCCGTTTTCCAGGCTTGCCTTTAGCTGGCGGGTGTCTGGGTCGGAGCAGGCGGAATGTGGATGTTATTAGAGGCCTTTGTGCAGCCAGACACCCCTGCCCACATAGAGGACGAGAAGGAACACTTTTTGGCTCGGAAAACCCTTCTTAGCCTCGTAGTGTCGTCATCAAGCGAGCTTGGCCTTTCGTTTGTAATATGATAGCTGAGAGGGTGTATTAGGCAGCTGTTAAAATTTCATCGGCGCTTAAGCCATCACGACGTTCGTGCAGTTAGAGGAGACGACGGCGGGAAGCAGCGGCTCGCTAACAGACCTTTAGGTCTTTTCTAAGTGAATTAAAATTGCACGGGGAGAGAGGCGCCTTTGTCACTCAGCTGTGGTGTTTTCCCGCCACTTATGTTGTAGATATTTAGCATGCTTGATATAATACCCAGAGTCATAAGGTTTTAGTAATCTGTTGAGGGTTTGTTTCCTGACATAGTGAAATTACGTAAGTGCATAACTCTGAGAACGAGCAAAGGAGCTTCATTTGATTACTCTTGTGCGTCTATGATGAAATGGAGAGCGGAGAGATTAACTGCTAATCACAGTTCGAAATTTAGTACTCTGAGTTTTAGTGTTTGGTGTTTCTCAGAGCTGTTGTTGTAGCTAAAATAGCATATAAGATGGGCTTACTTTTTAAATTGTTGTTAATAGAATACTGTTTCAATGAAAGAAAAAGAGTAAATGGATTTTTCTCTTACCCTTGGCCTCTTAGGCTCCTGGAGGAATTGCCACGCCCCCAGTGTATGGCCAGCTTCTCGCGTTGTATCTGCTCCACAATGACATGTGAGTACCTGCAATCTGATGCTCTGAGCAGCAGCTCCTTAGGGTCACATAGAGATCGTTGTAATTGGAAGCAGATCCCACAGCACAGGCTCCATGGGCTGTGTTTTTAATCTTTTATGTATTTATTTATTTGGTACAGGGTCTCACTGCACAGCTTGGACTTGTAGTGATCCTCCTGTCTCAGCCTCCCCAGCGCTGGGATTACAGGTGTGCACCACCGCGCCTGGTTTAGGGGCTGTCACAGCATGCAGTAGGAGGGATCAAACCTCGATCCTTGCATTTGCCGGGCAGGCATTTAGACCACCAAGCTATTTCCCTGGCCCCTTGAGTTGTTTTTATTGTGATACCTGTTACATCTATTTCCTGTTAAAATGAATTATGATTATGCTGTTACTTTAAAATATATTTGTTTTATGTACATTTTAAGAATTTTAGTTTGACATGAGAGACTGCAGTATCAGTATTTTTTAAATTTTCACCAAATAAGGTCTGGGGTTCACCTCAAGCCTGGATGCACTCCAAAGTATTGCCAAAATATAAACCATCTACTTAGAGAGGCCGTCATGTGTGACAGCTTAGCCTGTCTATGAGTTGTTAATCAGTTTACTTATGGTCACTAGATGAAAAGGAAGATTGAGAAAACCAAGATAAATTTATTACCAACATATGTGAGATTTCTTAGAAGGGTTTGTTTGTTTTCTGTGCTTGTTCTCTGGGAAAAGTCAGGAAACAACTATGTTAAAAGAGTCTCTGGCAGGCCGAGGTCCTATCAGTGCTTCCTGATAAAATTTTGTTTCAAGTTCTTACAAATTTTTGATGTTTTCAATAGTGACACTGAGGTTTTCATTGTTCCAGTTTTTGTAAGGCAGTTATCATCTATGTTCCCGTCTCTCAGAACCTCCCATGTTGGAAGTTTTCAGGGCTCTGTGCTTCCTGGGAGGAAAGGCCCTTCAAGGGGCCAATCAGGACACACGTGGAGGCGTACAGTTGCAGAGGGATTGCAGTGAGAGACGTTGTTGTTCATCCCCTTCGTTCTTATCCCTGTCTGCAGTGTTTTTGGAAAGCCTTTGTTAGGAGCGTGTTCGCAAATTTTGTTAAAAATATGATGATGGCTGCTGCCAGCTGCCACCCAGTGGAAACGCAGCTTGTAACGCATTGTGGCCTCCATCCGCCTTGCCCACGGGATCTGGCACTTCTCGCCTCCGAGCTCTTCCCCAAAACCAAAATGACCGTTAAGGAGAAACATTTTGAATTGATTCAAGACATCAGGGCGGCTGTAAGGGCGCAGCTGCAGGTGCTTACGGAAGAAGACCCAGAACGGCTTCAGCAAGTGGCAGCAGCGGTGGCATCAATGGTCCAAGGCACAGGGGAGGGTCTTGATGGGAATCAGTGACAGAGGGCTTAGCTGTGATATTTTTCAGTGTCACCATTCACTGTATCTTATTTCATCAGGAAGTGCTAGAGCTTCCTAAGCACGTGCATTTGTTTCACGTACCTGAGTGAGTTCATTATGAGAATTGAGTAAAAGTTGCAGAATGACTTTGGTAAATATAGTCCATGTCTTCTTGCCTGGAAAAACCCCCTGAATTTTCCCAGAACTAACTCAGATAAAACTAACTTTTACTCTGTATCACAAACTGTATTTTATAGTTTATTTCTGCATGTTTGCACTGGGACTTAGAAAATTTTCTAATTGACTGTTCTTTATATAAATTAGGAATAATGCAAGATATCTTTGGAAAAGAATACCCCCTGCTATAAAATCTGTAAGTATTCTTTCAATACATTTTTTTGCTTTAATGTAGTAGTGTCATTAACGCAGCAGCCTTGCAAGCATTCCTGTTTTCTATGTAAAAGAAAACTAGTGTATCATTAAACTAGTGTTTACATTGTTAGATTTTTATAACCAGAAGGTTAAATTTCTGTGGGATAGCAACAAATGCATGCCCGGCCATTTCTGGTCAGATTTTGTGAGGTGGGTCTTCGAAGCAGGACTCCACCAGATAACAGATGAGCTAGTTTAAGTGTAGGGCAGGTGGCAGTAGCAGAGTGGTGGGCATTTTCAAATGATTATGCAGTTCCCTATAAGTGGTACTTATCTTAAAACTGGTAAGGGGATAGAACTCAGGCCCTTGGCGCTTGCCAGGGAAGCACTTATTCTACTGAGCCATCTCCCCGGCCCCTCTCAGAATATTTTTGACATGAACATTCAGAGCATTAAAATCGTTTTGCTAATTAGAATCTTAGTTTTCTTATTTTGGGTGGAAGATTAGATGCAGTGAGCTGTGAAAGTTTCTTATACCACAGAACTAAGCACATGTTGAATTTTAAGTGATAATCTCTTCCCTGATACTAGGTTTAGTAAAGTTAGAAGATTCCTTAATTTACTTGATTAATAAAACAGAGTGATAGCCAAGCTCAGAGAGATACACAGCTGTCACATCGGCCACCTGGGAGGCTGAGGCCGAAGTACCACAACTTGGAGGCCATCTGGGAAACTCACAGCCTCTCAGAAAACCAGGTCTGGGATCGACCTCAGACCCGGGTGCGCTCTGCAGTAATGCTAAGAAACAACAACCAAAACCCCTACTTAGAGAGGCTATCGTGTATGACATCTTAGGCTGGCTGGCAGCTGTTAATCAGTTTGCTTTTGCCCTAGATACACATACTAAATATATGTGAGGAAAATAAATGCAACTACTGCTTGCAGCATGTAAAAACTTTTGGTAATAGATGAAGTAATTGCATTGTGTCCTTCACAATAGAGCTAACAAGTTTTACTGTGTCATATGCTGTATTTTGTTTTAACATTGAGTCATTGATAAATTACAGAGTGAATACCTTCAAAGGCAATAATGTTTATTGCAGGCAAATTCTGAACTTGGAGGGATTTGGTCAGTAGGACAGAGAATCTGGCAGAGAGATTTCCCTGGGATCTATGCAACCATCAACGCCCACCAGTGGTCTGAGACGGTGCAGCCAATCATGGAAGCGCTCAGAGGTAGTGTTTCTGTGCGGTCAAGAATTGCACTGGGCTAGACCTGTTCCCTAAGTGCTGAAATGGTAAAAAATTTGTGTGAATTTTAACACATTCCTGCCAGCTTGTGCAATGGGAGGTACAGGTGTGAGTTCCCATGCCACCCATTGGTTCCATTAGAAATTTAGAACATCGAAGGTGGCAAAACTGAAGAGATGCTGGAGAGGGAACTGGACACCAGCATGGGCCGGGGCTGTAGGCATTCTCACCCAGGCCTACACACCCCGCTGAGCGAGGCAGGGAGCGGGAAAGCGAGTGTCCTGACCATTGCTCTCAGTGCTGACCTTGGAGCCCACCTGCCAGGTGAGAGAGCTGTGGTGCTGTGGCCACTGGCGCACGAACGCGCGTGCACACAGCACATGTAGTGGGTAGAGGGGTTGGACATGCCGGACACCAGCCAGCTCTGCCTCCTGTCCCCGTACTGCCAGCGGGCGTTCTCCGTGAGGAAAGGCACCAAAGTATTGCAAGTAGCAGAGTTGCCATTGTGTTGGGTCTCTGTTCTCACTGAGAATTGTTCTGGGTTCAGCTGGCACCTGTGTCGGGTGATGGCGATGGCTGTGTTAGCCACCTTCCAAACTGGCATGGGAATGCCTGCCTCCCTGAGGTCACAGACTACATGACTGGGGTCACCAGTGGCTCAAAGTAGCCTCCCTCCCACTGATGCTGGGGATGCCAGGCTTTGCTCCTATTTCCTTTGCAGCCTGCTTCTGCCTCCCTGCATGCTCTGTTTTTGAGCTCTAGCGCTTTCTGCTGCTCTTTGACCCTTATGGTCTTCTCCGCCCCTCACTTCTATTCTACTCCCTACTCTAGAAATCTGAGCAGGATATTTGAACTAAAGTAAATGTGGTTAATGTCGCAGGCTTGCCAACCAAGCATGGCTTATGAGGTGCACACCTCCCTTCCTTCAGCTCCTCTCCTTGACTGTAGCCTTCCAGGATGCCTGTAGGGTGCTATAGGGTCTGCTTAGCTGGGTTGGAAGGAAGAGCAGTCATGACCTGAGTCAGGTCTCAGGCCCCTGAGACCTGAAGGATGTCAGGCTTAGTGGGACATGAAGGGAAAGTAAAGTCTGAGGTTGTTGTGGGGGATTAAAAAAGAAAGCTGAAGCCTAGGCAAGGGTCGGGCACCATTTGGTGCATGTATCAGGAGCAAGCTTATTCTCTGCACCCCCAAGTGTGCCACTGGTGCTAAAGGGTGGTTCGTCCCCTTCCAAGCATAAACAGTGATGCCATGAGCTTAGAGCGGGTAAGCTAGTCTTGGACTTCAGTGCTGTGACGAGTTTATAAACACACCCAGGAATGTTAGCAAAGAGGAGTGGTGTCCAGCATGGAACAATAAACTAGAAGCCCCGGGAAGGTTTCAACTGTGATCTTGCCTACCTAGTACAGTAAGTCAAATCCAGGTTATTTCCCAAGTGTGCTGGCAGCTAGACAGAGAAACCTTGTGTTATGGACCAGAGGAGGGCTTCCAGGGTCCGAGGGAGCTGCCTCCTGGTGTACTATGGACCAGAAGAGGGCTGCCGGGGTCCGAGGGACCTGCCTCCTGGTGTATTACAGACTAGAGGAGGGCTACTGGGGTCCGAGGGAGCTGCCTCCTGGTGTACTACGGACCAGAGGAGGGCTGCTGGGGTCCGAGGGAGCTGCCTCCTCAGTATTCCTGAATTTCCTTCATGTGGCTCTGTGAGCTCCCAAGTGCGAGCTCCCAAGTGCCTTTTCTAGGGAAGAGTTCTTATGGCTGCTGGCCAACAGCCTCTTTCTGGAATTGACCACTCAGGGTTGGAACTTAGGATTTTGAGCTCAAAAGAAGGCTAGAGTTGGATGCAGGCTTGGAAAATTAGAAAGAGTGCCTTAGTTTGGCTTTTTTTAGTGTATTTAGTACAGGGTGTGTAGGGTCTCACTACACGATTGAACTCGAGGTTCAGCCCAGGGGCAGCCGACTCCAAGGTAGAATCGTGGCGGCAGCACCTGGCGAAGCAAGCTGCCCACCTCAGGGCAGCCCAGAAACAGACCACAGAAGTTGCAGAGTAAAGGTATGGAGCCAGTCAGGCCAGTCCCCAAGGTGACAGCCCTGGGACCACCCAGCTGCACCCAGGAGTGTGCTGCACTGACCTCCGCTTATCTCTCAGGCCAGTCAAGCTGACAAGATTAACCAGTGCTATATTTAAGTTAAATTTTCTTAGGGTTGAAGTCTTGCATGTATTAACTGTTTCCTACCTTTGTAACTTTGACCGCTGTCTGGCCTCGGGAAACGTGTCTTTCTCTTTTGCTAGCATTACCTGGGCCTCTGAATGTGCCAGGCGCGTCCAGGTATGTCTGTGAGCTGATGCAGTCTATTGAAGCAGTGTCATGAACTGTTCTTAACACGCCCACTGTGTTGTCCCCTCCCCTTCCCGTAAGATGCGACTCGGCGGCGTGCCTTTGCCCTGGTCTCCCAAGCGTACACCTCCATCATCGCTGATGACTTTGCGGCCTTTGTTGGACTTCCTGTAGAAGAGGCTGTGAAAGGTACTTTGGCTTTTACTCACAGGGACCCGAAAGACAGGTGCAGACAGGTTCCCATGGCGCACTGCTAAGTGCAAGTTTAGGAACTGAGTTGTGTTTGCTTTGGGGGAAGGGGACCCGCAGCACTGCGCGGCATCCCCAGGGGTTTTGGACAGCGGGCACCTCCTGATCAGATATGTGATGTCTGCTCTACTGGTTAGCAGAGCACAGCTTTATCAACCTCACTGCCCATGTTCACAGGCCGTTTCATCTTACTGGACAAAGTCTCGGCCACACATCCCTGTTCAGCCCCAGTTTTTCTCAGTATTCCTTGCTCACACCCCAGGAGCCTGTGCACCGCCACCCCACTCTAGAGTATTGTTTATCTGGTTGCATTGTGCTACTAGGGTGATTGACATTTGGATTCTCAAACCAAAATCTGAGCTCCACAGTGCACCACCTCTTGTTCTTAGGTCTCTAGGCCCTCACGGTGTTAGACACCTAAGAGAATGGGGGGATGGAGCTTTTCTTCAGAGGGAGTTTTTGGGGACAGAAGCAAGGCCTGGTGCATGCCAAGGATCTGCTCTGCCCCTCAGCCTCGACCCAGCCCTGACATTCTGATGTGAATCATACTGCCACCTGCTTGGACATTTGCTTTGCCTGTTAAGGTCGGTCCTCTCTCAGGTACATCCCTGAGATCGGGTGATCTTAGCAGCCTGGTGTAAGTCCTGGTCACACAACTAATCCTCCACGCTAGCCATGGGACCTGGGAAACGCCACTGGAATTCCCTAACTTCGTTTTTCCACCTTTAGATGAAAGTTGTATGTCCTGCTTCGGAGAGCCACATGGTTACATAAAAGGGTCTCCGTGGAGACGCCTGTCATCCCATTAGTGCTTGTGGAATTATAACATGTCATGCAGTTTCCTTACATCGGGCTTAATAAACTGATTTTTGAATACTTTATGAAAAGCTTACCGCTGTTAGTGATCACAGCAGCCTGACGGTGCAGTGGAGCTTGGTGTGCACAGGACTGTGGGGGCCCTCGCAGACCGCGGAGGGCACGTCAGACAGCCCAGGAGACGTGGAAGTCAGCCAAGTAGCAGCACCATATTTATTTCAGCTTTTTAGAAACACTTCTAATGTTCTTAATCATTTTCTAAACTTGTAAACCTACGTAATTTTAACAGCATACATATACTTACAGTATAGTATGTATTCATCTGCTAAGAAATATACACTGTGAACAGTGTTTTATTTTGATTTAATATTTTAATGTTAGAATTAACATTTTCAATGTTTTTATGTATTTTTAAAATTTTAGGCAAATATTAAAACCATAAATATTGCACATATTAATACATATACAGTACTGTACACTACCACAAAACACTGCAATATAACAAAAAAATACACAATAATTTAGATTAATATTTTTGGAAACCCATGAAACAGAGACTAGTGTATTGCAAAAATCAATTTACATGTTCTCCAATGCTGTCCATATTCCATTAGTAGCACTGTCCATGACAGATGGACCTAATGCTGTCTGTCTCGTGAGTAAACAGTGTGCGGACAGACTGAGGAGCTCACGCACTGATGTCATTTCTCCACCCTTCTGTGAAATCCACCTCTAGGTATCTTGGAGCAAGGATGGCAAGCGGACTCCACCACAAGAATGGTTCTACCCCGAAAGCCAGGTAGGGGGCGCTCTGTACCCATTTCTGTAGTACCAACCGCTGAGGGATTCCTGCCTTTCACTTGGACCATTTTGTTACTACGCTAGCACAGCGGAAGTGTCTCACATTTTAAATATGCAGAATGTGGGCACTTGGGGCTGAAATGCAAGACCCCGGTATGTTGGTCCTTCATGGTCCTTATTCTTAATTTTTGTTGTGTAATCTACCATCATTTTATTTATGGAGCCATTTCTTCTTAAGGTCTAAACGACTGGCCTTTAAAGATTCATATCCAGCTGTCCCTTGTACGTGACTCATACAGGCACTTTTCCGTGACTCGCTTTCACAATATTAACTGCTCTTGCCCTGGGACTTGGCCCTGCTTTTTCAATTCAAACCCCTAGCCCTGCTATCTTTTGAATTTTCCGGGGGGCTTGTATTGTGGTTTGAGATGTCTCACACTGCAGTCAGGGTACCCTAGAACTTAGATCATCCTGTCTCGGCCTCCTAAGTGCTGGTCTTGTAAGCGGGTGGCCAAGCCTGTCTTGAGCACAGAAGCGAGCCACGCCTGCTGCTACTTGCTGGTGTCTCTTCCCCTTCTTGCCCCTTCCTGTCAGGCCTTCAGAGCCGACAGGCCCTGGTGTGTCCCTTGGTGTAAGTGGCTGCCTCCCAGTGCCGCTGCAGCACTCAGCCCTGTGAGGGTGCACGGGCAGCAGGACCGGGACTCGACCAGGCTGTGCTGGCAGCTAAGGGAAGACTGCTCATGAGGCAGGAGATGAGAGCTAGGTGGCCGGTGGTGCCGCGTGAAGTGCTGCTCTGCAGGCGGCCTTGCGAAGGCTGATTGAATTATGCCTTTCTTTTAGTTGCAGGCGCCCTGGATGTTTCCTTTAATAGAATTATTCCCCTGTCAGGTACGTTTTCATATTTTAAGTGACCCATTGTTTGTCATTTCTTTTGTATGGTGTGTTTATAAGAAGTTTACAATATACACCCAGTTATAACCTAAAACTGGGGGCTGCCCCATAGCCCACCCCATGGCAGCACCTGCGTACCATCCCTTGGGGCCCTGCCATGCCTGGCCCCTATGAGAACAGGCTGCATCCAGGCTGGTGTGGCACCGGTGTGCGAGGGGGTGGCTCCTGAGAATGTGATCCTGGGGCTCTGACTGCTGGTGCAGCCTTCTCCTGGGTCACTCCATGGGTAGGGACTTCTCTGAGAAGAGCCACAGTCTTGTAAAAGAGACTGTTCCTATACGGTGTGTTTTGAGCTTTCATGTAGGGTACTTCCATGACAGTATCATTTTGTTTTTTGTGCAGTTAAAGAAAACCATGCTCCTAAAAGTAGGATTCGTTTCCAAAAGGTTAAGTCTAGAACGTGTGATGTGGGGAAAGAAGCTAATAATTCAAAAATTGACAGTTTCAAAGGTGTCTAAGATCAGATCTAAGAAATGACCTTGTTCAAATGGAAGGCATTAGAGCAGCGGTGGCAGGACCCAGCCCTGCTGCGTAGTGTCTCACTAGAGCTCTCTGTGGACCCGCAGAGCCTGCCCCAGTCCCGCCGATCCCCAACGAGCAGCAGCTGGCGAGGCTGACCGACTATGTGGCTTTCCTGGAGAACTGACATCGCTGGGTTCGGGCCACCCACAGCGCCCTGTACACGGACAGATGGAGACATGTAAAGCTTTTATTTTCAATTTACTGGATGGATTAAGCACCTCAGCTTTCCTTACGGAATATGTGATAAAATGAATATATAATATAAAGTATATTATATATATTTTGTCCTTAAGCATTATGCTGAGTAGTTGAGGCAGTTGTCATTTTTTAATATGTAACAGTTTGGCACTGTCAGTATTACGCAGGCGGTTTACATTCTCTGCTGACCTAGGAGTAAGCTCTCTTGCCCGGTGCATGCCGCACTCCTGCCCATGCCTGAGTGGGCCCTGGTGGTGCTGCTTGTGCGGCTGGCGAGGGACTGTCCCGAGTAGCACCTGAATTGCTGGAGCGTGATCCACCCTTGGGAGGTGGGCACACTGGGGTCCCTGCCTCCTGAGAACTGCTAGGTAGAGTAGTCACATGTAGCTGAAGAGCAAACGGACGTTTCTTGAGTAGACCAGTGTGTTAGCGTCACGGTTCTTTCCAGTAGTATGAACACATCCATTGCTAGCAGAGGTGGGCTCACCACGATGGTGCCACTTAGGGTGTTCATGAGAAGTGTTAAGTCCTACCCTGTCCTTGCGGAGGACAGGATGGTACGTGGGATGCACAGTGTGCGGAAGGAAGCTAATAAGCCGAGGGATGCCATGTCGGCCTCCGTGGCCCGTTGGTTGCTTCTGTTTCAAGTTCTGCCTGTTGAAGAAGTGCTGAACAAGTCTTCATTCTTTGTGTGACAGACCCCTGAATGTTTGAAGTCACTGTATTTTTAGATTAAGGTACCCCTTAGATCATTTATTCTGCATTTGTTCAATAAATATTTAATTGAATTTTTGAACTGTCATCTGAGGTGGTTTCTAGAAATTTCACTGTCTTGGTTTTTCTGTGAATACACTTCTAGTTTGTCTCTGCGTTTCAGAGTAAGAATTTTTTAATCAAATGGAAATGATCTCATGAGTCTGGCAGTGATACATAATTTATGTTTTCATTCATTTTATTAATGATATTTACTGTTTCATTCATTTTTGAAAGCATATGTGGAAATATCTTTCCTATTTCATTTAATTCTGATGAGTAAAATTATGTAAACTTATTTCACAAATGAAGAAGCAAGACTTTAAGAAGCCAGAAGGTCAGTAGCCAGTTTTGAACTTCCACATTAAGAACAAACGAATGCCTGGCAGACTGGGATTGGGGGACTGTTCAAATAAACTGTGTCACATGCTCTGTTACCATCATGGGTGGGGACCTCTGGGCACTAACAGGATGTGAGTAACGACAGAAATTCTGGGGTGCTCGTGTAGTGGCTCAGGAGTGAGAGCATGACTGCGGTGACGGGCGCACACACGGCTGCTCTGTTTCAGAGAGTGACAGTGGAAAGGTAGACCAGAGACAGCAGTGCTTCTCCAGAGAGCAGGAAGACCGACCTACGTAGAGAAAGAAGTCTTGACTACCAAGTATGATTTTGCAGTTAATTGTACAAGATAATCTCATATCATCAAAAGAATGTTCTAGAATAGTTAGTGATTATGTAACATCTTTAGATGTGAGTAATCTTAAATCTGACCTTGAGACTATATGATTTATTCTTTGTAAACAGTACCTATTTCTTATCTCTAGCCAACTGGAAACAACTATATCTCAGAAATAAAAACCAGCACTACTACTAATTGTGGTGCCTAAATTCCATTTTTAGATAAAAGGAATAAGAAGTTCGTACAGTAGTGAATACTTGGTCCAGGACAATAAATCTACAAGGTGACACTGTACCTGATGTTCACATTGAAGAAATGTCAAGACCCAGGCTTCTGTCAGAAGGCTGTAGAGAAGCTGACTTGAGTTCTCACTGGCCAAAAATTAGACAGTTTGAGCTTGAAAAATTACATGTTTACCTTCTTAACTACATCAAGATAACCTATTGTCTTGGTTACTTTTTTTGTTGCTGGGATAAAATACCCAACACCTAGAATAAGGGAGGAAGGGTTTATTGAGCTGACAGTTTGTGGATGTTTCAGTCCATATACAGCTGGCTCAAAGGCCGAGTGGCACATGGTAGAGGGCACAGTTAATGGCGGCACAAAAAGCAAAGCAGCAAGAACAAAAGGGCAGGAGCAGCAGCAGACAAAAAGCAGGCCTCTCTCCCCTCTTTGTGCTGCGTCCAGGCTGTCTGCCCCAGTGCCAGGGTAGCGCTCGTCCTATAATCCCAGCAGCTCTCACACTGTAATCCCAGTGTCGGGTCATGAGTTAGTCACAAACACTAGAAGCCCATCACCCTATCCCGGCTTGAGGCTTTGTGGGGACAGCTGGACAGACCATGACACCTGCCTCATTGCACAGGAAGGGAGGGTGAGTGCTTCATGTCACTCCCTAACCCATATGTCCTCCTTTGAAATACCAGATTGCTACTCCGGTAATCTCCAGAGGAACAGAATAAACTGGAAAGGTGCTCAAGTGGCTAATGGAAAGTTCTTTATGGAAGAATTCGACCCCATAAGGTGCAAAGTAGCATTTTGCAACCCACCTAGGGAACAAGCTCTGAGACCATGGGGACAAAGGGGGATTTCTGACATGAGCAGCTGCCCATCAGCACCCTGCCACAGGCCCAGTGTCACACAGAGACAATTGGCTGACACAGGTGTGGCAGTTGAAGTCTGAGGGATTAAAGTACTTTGAGGCTCACAGGTGTGCCAAGAGCTGTGAGGCTGGAGCCCGGCAGTGAGCCTTAAAAGCAGCAAGGAGCGGAGAGCTGAAGCAAGAGAGCCACAGAAAGGAGGGCTGCAGCGCTTTCTGGAGCACATGCTGGCTCCTGCAGCTAGACCAGGCTGTGCCTGCACGGCGTTCCATGCTGTGGAGCCTGGCGGCCTGTGGCACTGGGCACCTTCAGGGGTCAGGGCAATGGGAGCGGGAGCGGGACAGGGCTGCTCTGCTGCTGCTTGTCCTTTGAGACACCTGGACGCCGGCTGCTTTGAGTGAGTGACCAGAACTCCAGAGCCCCTGAGAAACGTCCTGGTTTTCCTCCCAGGTTGTGCCTAGGGCTCCTTTATACCCAAGAAGCTGAAAGTTGGGAGCACCTCTGAGTATGAACCAGATGTAGAACATAGTAAAACTCCAGCTGGAAAGCAGCTGAGTGTAAAATATTCGTGCTGCAACAACACACAGGAGCTGAATGGGGAAGGGTGTTAGAGACACGATATAAATCTGGTGTCTGTTGTCTGTCCATTGGCATCCCAGGAGGAGAGAAAAATGCAAAAGAAATCCGAGGAACTACTGGCCTAGAATTCTCCACAACTGATGAAGCCTCGCAAAATGTAAATGCAAAGACAATTACACCTGTGTTCAGCATAGAGAAACTAATGAAGACCAGGACACGGGATGCTTCAGAAGCACGCGGCCCGGCTGTGGGGCATTCTTTTCAGAGCAGCAGTGAATAAGCTGGAAGAACAAAGGCCTAGCTCCTCCCCTATAGGTTTGCTTTCAGTCTTCAGTCTTGCTGTCATGTTCAGAAGTTGGCAAAAGACCACAAAGCTGGCGCAGCTGTGATCATATTAACCAAAGTAGACTTCAAGGCATGACCAAATGTTAGACATAGAAAAGTATGTTTAATGAAAACGTTTCCACTCATGGTTACCTATTGCTGCTGTGGCAAATCAGAAAACTCCTGGTTGCAGACGGTGTGGTATCTGCTACTTCTACAGTCAGAAGTCCAACGTGGATCTTGTGGCTACCGCCAGCCTGCCAGCAGAATGTAGTACAGATACACCAGCAAAAGTGAAAGTTGGACTTTAGAGAAATTGACAAAATCCCTATCAGGATAATGAACAAATAATTGTTATAGGATATTGTAAGCAATTTTATGCCAGCAAATGTGAAATTTTTAATTAAATACAAATTATCTGAAGATAAGAGCTTAGCAGAATTAAAAAAAGAGAACACTCTTACGTGCTGGGGAGAGTGCTTTAGTTATTAGAGTCTTTCCCACAAAGACAACACCAAGTCCATAAAGGGTTTTCTGGGAAATTTGTCCATGCTTTTAATCAAGAAATAGCAATAATTTTACACAGATTTTTCCAAATACTAGAATATAATAGGACAATTATAATAGTTGTTTTAATGAGGCCCGAATAGTACAACAAAATTACTAACTAGTACGTTGAAGAACAAAGATAAGAAAAATGTATAATATTAACATCAAACACAGGAACATTTCAGCTTATATCATGACCAAGTTGAAGGTATTCTAGGGTTGAAAAGCAGTAAAGATCATTGCATGAGAAAATCATTCACCACACTCACAGACAGGAAAAGAATCATAGCATGATGAGAAAGGGAAAGCACTTGGTAAGATGTCAGCAGATACACACTCAGGATAAAAATGCAGTAAAAGAGAACGCCAGTCCTTTCTAACAAAAAGAACCCTGGGAGACTGCCCGCAACATCCCACATAATGGTGGATTGTCCAAAGCTTCTCCCTGACACAGGGTCAGTCTGCTATTGTCACCTGGATTCAGAGTCGTCCTGGACATCCTCCTAGTTAGTACATTGAGGCAAGAAAATCAACAAGTGATTGCCTTAGAAGGAAGTGCAGATTTCTGCAGACATCCACTGAGTCTTCAGCTGAGTACTAGTCTGATGATGTGTAGAGTGAAATTCTCTGAAGCCAGCAAGAATAACATCCAAGGAAAAGACTAGGAAACTACAAAGAACAGGTAGCAACAAGTGAGGCATCATCTCATTCTTCCCACCCAGAGGGAGAGCCCTCAATGAATAAGTGGGGCAACACTAAACCCCAGAAGGGTCATGGCTCAGGTGTGGACCCAGAGTAGCCTAAAACATAGGCAATCATGGGTCTTGGTATAAGGACTTATAAAAGCTTCAAAACAGCTAAAGGGGGCTGGTGAGATGGCTCAGTGGTCTAAAGCACCTACTTAGAACAAGCTTAGCAAAGCACAGGGACCGCGGTTCAATCCCCCAGCACCACATGCCAGCCAGCCCCGCCCCCTGGTGGGCTGAGCTGGCCACACACACACAAATAAATAAATAAATAAATAAAATAAATTTAAAAAAAAAAAAAAAACAGCTAAAGGTACAAGTTCCAGAAGTGGTTACTAGAAGAAGTGCAGAGCCTTTGGAGGCTTCAGAGATACATCACTCACAACGTCTGCTAAGTTCTGTCAACATTGCAGTGTGGCCCAGCCCTGCCACTCCTGGAACCATGCAGCTTCTGGCTTTCCTCTCAAAACGACTACAAAAGAGAAATGTTTCAAGTCAGTTCAGGACATCAAGACGGCTGTGTAACTGCACAACAAGGAAGCACTCAGGAAAGAAGACCAGGGCTGCTTCAGAGAATGGCAAGATTTTAGAGATGTGTTCAACAGGAGGAATACTAGGAGAGGTCATGTGGTGATGTGTCCCTTCTGTAAGGAAAAACTTAAAATCTAAACATCACGTATTTCAGTTGCATCTCACACATAAAGACACAGATGACTTGAGCAGTCCTATCATCTCGTGGGTCTAGTCAGCAGCCATAGAATATTCTGCCAAAAAAACCGAAATGCACACCACGATAGTCACACTCAAGGTCACAA